GAATTTTGGGGAGGAGACTCAAAGGCTTGTTTGTTGAGAATTTTCGAAATTCCATTGTTGGTCTTGCGAAGAACGAATCTATTGATTTGAAACCTCAAGTTGTTGCTTACATAGTATTAAACTCAGCTGGGTATTAAAATTTAGACTTGAAAATACAATAAACATTTGTGTTTGAGGATCAAAACTGGAGGGACAAGCAGAGACGCCATTAAAGCTCGCTTGAAGCTTCTGGGTATATTCAGGTTTAGAAGAGAGAACCTACTGTATCTCTTTTCTATGGGTTCCGTATTTTTGTAGGGTAGCCAGTTCTATTTTTCAATAGTTTATTTTCTTATGTGGCACTAGTAATGACGTGGCGTCCTACGTGTAGGAGATTGTATTACACACACTGGTAGCTCATGTCATAAACGTTTATTATACACGATTTGAACGAGTGTAAGTGTTCAATTGGCAAACTGATAAGTTTAGGAACCGGCATGACAAAGTGACACAAGTATAAGTGTCATTTAGGCTATTCTGCCATATTTTAAATTTAAGTTGAAAAAGTGAAATAATAATAGAAAGAGAAAAGAAGAAAAAAGTGCAAAAAGAACAATTATAAAACACTGTAAGGGTACTGACGACTGCTATAAAATGGCGTCATAATTTCACGTCACAAGCAGAAACCCTACAAATGGTGCCCTAACCTCCTAACACTTCTCCTTACTCCCCAACCACTTTTTCTTTATGAAGTTACGAGTAATTTATTATTTATTATATTAAGAAAAAGAAAATCTTGCTTTACATAATTGCACTTAGGATTTCGGGAAAATATCTTTATCATTCTGTAGCTTTCTGAATTTGCTTTACACTGTTCTTGTGATTTTCTACTTAATCATTATGATGTGACTGATGTGTTGAGTTATCTGTATTTTTGTTAGAGTTTGTTCATAAATTTGGTTGAAATTTGATTTTTTTTTTTTAAAAAGTTATGTTTGAAATAATTTTTAGAAGTTAAATTTATGTTTGAAATGTATATTACTAAAAAAAAGTATAGTAGTTTTGTTAGTGAAAAGGAATTTCAAAAATTGGTCAAACTGGTCTTTAGAACTCGGAAATTGTTCTTTAATTTTATTAAAAAGCTGATCAAATTCCACGTAAATAGTGTTTTTAATTTTTTATTTTAGAGAAAAGTAAAAATAAACTATGTCCAAACGGGAGCTTTACTTTTAGGAATTCCCGCGCGTGACTTTTTTTTTTTGTGTGTGTAGCTTAACTTTTAGGTTATGGTTTTAATCCCTCGAAGTTACTGAATTTTAACTTAATAATTTTTATATAATTCAATTAATTTTTAAGATAATATAAAATTTGACTTAAAGCAACTAAATTCAATCCACTCGTAACTCGTATTTTAGCTCCGCCTTGCGAATAATCCAGGAAGCTTTTATTTTCAAACTTTGCTGCATAAATCAGGTCACTTTCAACTTTTTTTCTTGACTAATATGCATTAATAGGAGCGTAATAATTTGGGAGCTCCTCTACCCTGCACTTAACAAAATAAACTAAAATAAAAAATAAAGCGATAATCTGCTATTTTTTGGGGTCAAATTACAAAATTTTATTCAACCAAATTTGTATATTTGCATCCACTAGTTCCATTTGGACTCAAGAACTAGTCATCTCTATTTCTATCTATCTAAGAGTATTGACTTTTGTATATACAATCAAAATATTTACCCTTAGCTAGGATAACTATTTAACCCATCTAATATCTTCCTCCAATTCTTGTAATTCTGTCCTCTGATGTGTAGTTGGAGACTAATTTCTCTAAGTCTTAGGTAACTCTACTTCCTTTCATTCTGAAATCCTCTGGCATTTCGTTCACTCCATATATGGTAGACTATTCCAGCAAAAGGCCATGCCAGTACCTGTGCTTTAACTCAGCTTCCTCGACACCTCTTAGACATCCAGTGTACTTCCTCATTCCATGCCTTAGGAAGTCTGTTTTCACCCATCCACCTCAGTAAAGAAGTCCAGATATATCTTGCATAGTTGCATTCAAAGAACAGATGAGCTAATGATTCTGTAACTCTCATGGAACATAAGACACAATCCTTTGGAACATTTATTTCCCATTTCTCTAGTCTGTCCACAGTTGCAAGTCTCTGTCTAATGGCTAACCACAAGATGAATTGGTGTCTAGGTAACTGTCTTGCCCCCATAGTGAGATTTTTTCAATGTACCTTCGGATATTGTGGTTGAAAAGATAGATAAGCTTTCTTGATGCCGAAACCATCACTCTTGCTATATTTTCCCAATTCCACCTTGTAGTCTCTGTTTTCAAACCAACTTCTTGCATCAAATATTTTCCTCACAAGCCAGCAAGCTTGTGATGGAGTTTTCATAGTAACTATATCCTTGTTCTTTATATAGTAACCATGTATCCATTGCACCCATAGGGATTCTTTTCTTGAAGTTACTGCCCATAACAGCTTACATATAGCTGCTTTATTCCACAAATTAAAGTCTATTAGCTTTAGACCCCCTGCTGCCCTTGGCATACATAGTGATTCCTATGAGATTAGTGCTTTCCTAGATGCTTCACAGCTTCCGGTCCATAAAAAGGTTCTGCAGATGCTTGTGACGAGTTGTATAACCTTCTTAAATAGGACAAAGATCTGAGCCCAATACGTTTGCATTTCAAATAAAATACTCTTAATCAATTGTACCCTTCTTGATATCATTCTCTCCACAATTGGCATACATTGTTGGATAGTTATCTTATTGGATGAGAGTGGAACTCCCAGGTATTTGAATGGCAGTTCTCCTGGTACAAACTGTCATTTCATTCAGAATCTGCTCCTTCAATTCTTGAGAAATCGCAACAATGTATAATGAACTCTTATCCAAATTTTGCCTTCAATCCATACACACTAGAGAAGTGATTGAAAGCTTGAAGCATTAGTTGAATGGATGTTCTATCAGCCCTGCAACACATGAGTAAGTCATCAGCAAAGCATATGCGCACTAGCTTCAGTTTACTGCATCTAGGGTGATAGTTGAAGTCCGGATTATACTGCAACTGTTTTAGAGATCTGTTAAGATACTCCATGATCAGCACATATAGATACGGGGACATGGGATCACCCTGTCTCATTCCTTTCCTTGCCACAAACTTTGGAGTAATTCCACCACTTAATAAGATGGCATAGCTCACAGTAGTCACACATTCCATAATCCACCCAACAAATTTCCCAGGGAACCCAAATTCTAGCAAGACAGTTCTAAGGAATTCCCATTAGACTGAGTCATACTCCTTTCCGATATCAACTTTTACAATGCACTTAGGAGAAACTCCCTTCTGCGTATAACCTTTTACCAGCTCATGTGCAACTATGACATTGTCTAAAATACTCCTTCCTGCTATGAATGCTGACTGTGAGGCTCCAATAATTGTGTCTACTACTGACTTGAGTCTGGCAGTGAGAATTCTTGCTATCAACTTATACATAGTTGTACAACAAGCTATGGGCTTATATTCCTTCACATATGTAGGTGATAACTGTCATTTTAACACGTTTTATGCCCATACTTGCGTATGCTTTATATATGATTTGCCATAAAATAAACCCAGAATGCTTATAAGTTGCGCTTGATTGTAGGTTTGAGCAACAAGATGACGAAAGTCAAAAATCGGCTCGAAACGGAGTGAAACCTGCTCAAGTGTCAAAGATCATGAAAGCAAGGATATTCAGAACTTGGTGCGGACCGCACCATCATGTCATGCGGCCGCACCATAGGAGTTCAGAGAGTTGGCATTCTCAGTTCCAGCCAATGCGGCCGCACTACAAGTTCACGCGGTCCGCACCACAAAAGTTCAGAGACCATCTCAAGCCACTCATGCGGCCGCACTACAAGTTCACGCGGTCCGCGCCAGTCATCATGCGGCCGCACTTCATCATTGTGCGGTCCGCGTCAACATCTTCAGAAGGCAAGTCTCAGAAGTCAAGCAACCCAGTGCGGCCGCGTGTCAACTTCGTGCGGACCGCACGGACCCCGCAGGGGTATTTTTGTCCGGTTTTTCTTAACTTAGTATAAATAGAATATTTGCCATTTTTAGGGTACGAATTAGATACCAGAGAGCTGCTGCACTCGTGAGACAAAAGTTTTAGCCTATTTTGGGCATTTTCATCTTGTTTTAACGTGGATTCTTGTAGATTTACATTCTAGTTAATTAATATGTTCATTTTATCTATTTCTTCTTCAATTTCTGTTGTTATTATGGTTAGCTAAACCCATAATCTAGGGTTGTGGCTCAACCCTAGTGTGGGTAATTAATGGGTATGATTGTTTAATGCTTGAATGATGTTGGGTGTTTGATATTTGGGTTAATTTTATGTTTTCACTTGGATTTGGTGGTTGCAAACACTAAGTCTAGCTCAGTGGGTCTTGACTCTTCTTGAGAAAGAGTGTCTATGACTCCAAAATTAACCCAACAAGGAATTGGGATGGATCTATGAGAATGGTAGTCCCAATTAACGGGTAAAATCTCGAGAGAGTAATTACCCAACTTGAACCCTAAGTTGCTTAGTTTGTTAGCCTACCCAATTGGTCTCGAGAGAGTCAATTGGGCAAAATCATTCTTTCTACCGAGAGGTGTGAGAGTGAGTGCTATCGTGCAACGGTTATATCATAATCCCCATAATCATCATTCTCGTATTAGGAATCTCTACCCGTTAGTTGACCACCTAGGTAAATGCCACGACCCTAGTATCTTTCTCTATCTTGCATACAACCTAGACTTAATATCTTAGCATAATTTAGTTATAATTAGTAGTTGTTAAATTATAGTTGATAATCACAAAAAGAAAAACCCAAAAGTGATAGAAGATCAATTAGAAGCAAACTCGCATTTCTAGGCTAAACAAATATCCAACTCCCTTCCTAGCTCCCTGTGGAAATTGACCCCGATACCACTATTGGGTAAAAGTATTAGCGCCCACTATTGAGTCCGTTGCGACCTAATCAGTAGGGTTGGTTACTTTTGGCACTTGGTTGAGAGTGGTGCAATTTGCTTCTTTTAGCATTTTCCTAGAGTCAAAGAACTGGAGAACAGCCATGCTCACCTCCTCCCCTATTACATACCAATTTTCTTTGTAAAATTCTGCGTTAAATCCATCCACCCTCGGAGCCTTATCATTTGGTAACTCTTTCAATGCCTGTAGGACATCCTCTTTTGTGACTGGTTGAATCAACATCAGTTGTTGGTCCCTCTGTAAACAAGGACCATTTTTGGCAATGTGAGTGTCTAAGCATGGCAGTTCTTGTGCTCTGTTTCCATCAAGTTTTGAATAAAACCGATGAATTCCTACTGTACTTGCTTTGGATCTGTTAGCTTAACTCCCTGCTCATTGCATATAGTATCAATATTATTTTTGGACTGCCTTGCTTTAAGTTGAGCATAGAAGAACTTAGAGTTTGAATCACCCCGTGTGATCCATACAGCTCTGGATATTTGTCTAAGGACTCTCTCCTGAATTATAGCCCATTTCTCCAGTTCCAGCTTTATCTCTTTCTCTTCTACAATCAGCTGTGTGCTGTAAAGATTTGTTGCCATTGCATCCTGAGTTTCTTTAAGCTTTACCTGCAATGCCTCCATTTTCTGATCCAGCTTATTCATCTCTTGATTCATTTGCTTGACAGCATGTTATACTTGCTTTAGCTTCCTGCACGCTCCATACATAGCATAACCATCCACATTGGTTTCCCATATAGATTCTACCACTGCTTTGAATGAATGTTGCTTCAGCAGAACATTGAGAAGTCTGAATGGTTTTGGCAATTTTTGTCTGACAATAGTAGTATTTAGTAGTATAGGAGAGTGGTCTGAGCAACCAGGATTCAAGTAATGAGCTTCTATACTACTATACATACTAAACCATTGAGCACTGCCAAATGCCCAATCAATTAAGCTATAGATTCTATCTCCATGATCCCTTTTATTACACCAAGAGTACTGCCACCCCTTTCTTTTAATCTGCCCTAGCCCAACTTCATCTACACAATCTTGGAAATCTTGTGTTTCAGTCTGTTGAACTGGTGCTCCATTAATTATGTCCGCAACAGATAATATTGTATTGAAATCCCCAAGGATGATCCAAGGATCTACCATCATATTGTTAATTGCTCTCACTTGTTTCCAAATGTCTTTCCTTCCTTCTATGGTGTTATAGCCATAAACAAATGTTTCATAACATGCAAATTGAGAGCTTTTATCCTTCACTTTGCAGTGAACAGTTTGGGGTCCTGAACTCTGTACATCAACCTCCACCTGTTGTGGTTTCCAGCAGACCCATATTCTTCCATTCGGACAACCTACATAATCACAGTGAACCTGCCACTCTGTCCCTAACTTCTTTTTTATTTTCTCTACTCTTCTAGCTTTACTTTTGTTTCTAGACAGCCCAAAAGAGCCACTTTATTCGTAAGCAGAAAGGATTTGAATTCCTTCTGCTTATAGGGCTTATTCAGTCCTCTAATGTTCCATGATCCAAAGATCATGGGGGCTACTTGGTCAGATTTGTGTCCCTTACCACATTGCTAGTGGTAACCTCTGTGTGTATTCTCAATGCACTGAATTTATTCCTTCGTTGGTTTCTTTTTGATATTCTGTTGAGGCTCTCTATATTCTGCTGGTCTCTTCTTGCAATCCCCTGTGACATGTCCAACTTTCAAGCAATCTTGACAGTACATTGGCTTCCATTCATACTCAATGTCCTGTGAGTAATATTTTCCGTCAGGTAATTCAAGGGAAAGTGAATCTGGTAGAGGCTGGGATATGTCCATCTCTATCAATATCTTAGCATAAGCGATCCTTTGCTCTTGAGTTGTTAGCTTGTCTGTGCAAATAGGATTTCCAATACAGCTAGCTATTCTACCTAGATTGCCAGGAGCCCAAAATTGGATTGGTAGATTTGGAAACATTACCCACATCGGAACAATTTGAGTAGATTCCTTATGCATTTGGAACTCTAGATCCCATTGTTTCAGAATGAAAGGTCTGTAGTTGAATGTGTATGGCCCTTGTTGAAGAATCGCTGCCTTATCTTCCTCATTCTCAAACTTGAAGATGAAATACCCATTGTTATGGAGAAATACCTGAGGTGTACTGACGAAATTCCATACTCCATACACGAATTTGAGCATTTCTTTGAAAGTAGGGTTTCCACCAATCACATACCCAATTAAAACTAGACTCCATTTTTGATTCTGTTCAGCTATCTCCTGGGGGTTTATAATTAGCTTAACTACTTTCACTCCATCTTTCAATACCGGTAGGTAGTAATTTAGCTTCAACCCCGTGTGTTGCTCTTGATTTTCTTTAACGATTTCAGCCATCGTAGGTTTAATTCCACTAGATGTTGCAGAAAAGGTCAATTTCCTCGCTGCATTCATAGCTCCTGCGATAATCTGCTATTATTAAGTGATAATCTAAATGTCTATATTGACGAATTTATTTTATTGTTTAAAACTAGTTAAGTGAAGGAAGGCATTACGAGCCAAAATTTGTCCACCCTCTACCTTTCTTTAAAAATAAAATTTCACTAAATATTAATTACCAAATTTCTATGGAAGTTCCAAAACAAGTTCCAATATGGATTTTCTACCAAAATAATCTTCTTTCCTGGCCCACACAAAATGGAAATTAATTAAATCGCCCAAACCCCATACTAACCTTGTTTACAGTAGGTTAAAATAGGGTTTATCTTGCTTAAGGCCAGGTTCTTTCCACATAAAGAAAGAAATATTTTTTGAGTCCCTGTTATTTTAACTTGACTTAGGATGATAATTAAACTGATCATTAGGACACTCTACTATACTACCAATTTATTTCTTCTTTACTCCACACGAATTATTGTATATGCTTATGAGTTTTAACTTTTACATACTTATCAATATTATATAAGAATTTTATTTTGGGTGTGCGAACAAAGTCCCACATTGGTAGCTGAAAAGATTGGGAGTCTACATATAAGGTGTAGGGATCTCTTAATGGTGTGGGGCCTTTTGGGAAAAACCGTGCGGGCTTGGCCCAAAGCGGACAATATCACACCATATTAAGAGTGTCATTAGGCCGTTTTAGCCCAACATTTTAAACTGTTACGTTACTTAAAAAATTACTGTACATGGGCATGAGAAATTTTAAACATATATTGCCTTTAGGTCATCAATATATATATTGTGTATATAAGTTAAATTCGATGCGAATATACAACAAAAAGCCAGCAACCAGTAGTACAAATTGAAGGTGAGAAAGAAACATAAAGGGTCAAGATAATTGATTTCACAGTCACAATGACCATTCATAGAATATAGACTTTCAATTATATATATATCTAACTTATCAACAAATCAAATCAAAGTGGGGGCACTTTAGAACATATCAATATCAACCTATCTACTCATCTATAACCAAAATTGTTCCTATACCAAATTGACAACCACACAATTTTGGACGGTCAATATACAAACACATTAATTAATAAAAACCTTTCTTGAAAAAGTAGGTTAGGATTCTATATATATGAAAACAATAGGAAGAAATGGAATGGCACGGGCCATTCTTTTTTCCACTAGAATAATAGTAATCAAATTTGGACCACGTTTGGAAATGTTTGGTTCTATTTAGTATTCATGTTTTGTCCCCTCCCTCTTCTAAATTTTTAACAATTTGAGATTCTCCACTTTAGTCTTTTATGCATATCAAGAAATGATGAAGTTGTGCTTCTTTATGAGACTTTGCTTAAATGCATTATTATATCTACCTGTTTCCCATAATCAGTCATCTAAATAAAAGAGAATTTTCAAATGTGACAACTGTAATAAACGGAACTAGGGGTGTCAAATGTGGGTGGATAGGACGGATCACATTTTTTGGGTTAATTTTGCCGCCCCTAACTATAATAACAGACTTACTGTAATCCTATAAGTGGAGTGGGAGAGCACTATGTATACAACTTTATTACTCCTATCTTGTAAAGGTAGACAGACTATTTCCGATAGACTCTTCGCTCAGGAAAAACATAGTCTCGGCATTATTGAAAAGAAATACAATATTGGATAAACCACGAAAAGGAAACAATAACACAAAGCAGTACCAACAACAATAAGATAACAAGAAAACTGAAGCAACAAAACAATTAGTAGTAATACAAAACTAAGTATAAGAAAGTATGAGAGTACCATTGATACTACAAATAAGAAAAAGGATCGCGACTATTTACGAGCCTTCTACCCTAGTTCTCGATCTCCACCCACCTAAAAAGAACTTGTAAAATCCTAAGCTTTCCTATTACTTTTAGTTGATCAAAAGAAGGTGTATTTTTTGTGTGGGAAGAATCTGAATATACAAGAAAGATGAGTTCTCTCTGAATTTGTTTGAGTCATAGCTTTCATTAATGTGATTGGGACTTTGTATTTGGAATTTACAAACGTTTGAATAGCTTAAAGATAAAATTGATTCTACTTCATGAGAACAAGGGCCCAATGGACAGCCCATGTGTATATTTTATTAGATTTGTCTTGCTAATATGTTTCTTGATACATTGTGGAAGCTTAGTGAAAGAGATTAATTTTAGTTTTATTTTCCTTTTCCCAGTTTCTATTGTGAGTGTACAATTGTCAAGTTATATTAATCACATTATCGTTTAATCATGTGTTTGCTCCATCAGACCATCACTATTTACTGTTAGTTTATAGAGAGAAGGTGCAAAATTTGTTGGAGAAAATCTGAATATACAAGAAGAACTCGGCCCAAATGGAAAACACATCTGTATATTTCATTGAAAATTAACTCAAATGGCCGCTCGTCCAACCGCTTAAACTAAAAATAGCCGGTGAAGATATAATATATGCATAATTTATATATTATATATGTATAATTATGTATAATCAATATATAAATTATGTATATGACTAGAAAAAGTAAATAATGAATATGGACGGCTATTTGTGTAAAGATCCCTTTCTCAGTAGCTTATTTTTGGTGCGTACTTCACGAGGCCCAAGTCTACGAGTGAAAGGAAGTATATTTTTTTAAAGGGATTTTTACATTCCTATACCATATAGGAAACCTTATTACCCTCAATGTTTAAGGTTTGATATAATTACATTTAGTGTACCAACTTACTAATTCTATACCATAGTGTATTTTAAGAGTACAATTAATGCAGCATATATCCTTCCTTAATTCAAGGCACCAAAAATGGGCCGTTTTTTTTGTTCTGTATCTTTTAGCAGCTTCTCTCATTCGTTTACATTAAACATATTCCTGAATATATTCCTTCTCCCTCCTTCTTTCACTATTTTCAACTTAACCTTCACCGTTTCTGAAAACTTTGGCCCCAATTTCACTGCAAAACATCAAAATAGGAAAATATTTTTATTGTTTTCTTAAAGAAGGAAAAAGGAAAATAATGAACTAGATGTAAATAGACGCATACCATGCTTGACCTGCAATTAATATCAATGTATAAAAGAGTTAGGAAAAATGAGTTTTGTTTAATTTTCCTGTTTTTCATAAATATTCTGGACATACTTGGTTTTGACTGAAATTCAGATTGAAACTCAAAGAAGAAGAAGAAGAAGAAGAAGAAGAAGACATATTGCAGAAATTGTAGATAAATTATAGATAAATTGTAGACCATTTTTTGCAGAAGATTTTGTAGAAGTTTTAGTCGTTTTGGATTTGTCAAAAAAAAAAAATTGCATCTACAATCAGAATACAGATAATCTACAATTTATCTACAACATATCTACAAACTGGATACATTGAATTTTAATATCCCAATTCCCATTTCAATTGTAGATAATTTGTAGATATAGTGAAAATTTTGTAGTCATCCATTTTAGGGTGTCAGACATTTTGAAATCAACAATTTCTAATCATAGATTGTAGTTTATTTTGTCGTATAAATGTAGAAACTTTGTAGATAATTTTGAAAACAACATTGCCTTATTCTTTCATTAAATTGATTTGTAGTTTAATTGTAGGCAAATGTAGTAATTTTGTAGATAATACCGTAAAACCATAATTCTATGCAATTTCGAACTATACAAACCTGCACTTGTGTTATCGTTGGTGATTGCCAATTCCATATTGAAATCTCGTACACTTATACATAACGAATATGAAGCTGAGTTTTTATTCTCCTTTTTTGGTCTCCATATACACACGAACCCCCATATCATTCTAAATTTGTTCGTTTTTTTGGGTTTCTAGATTGAGAGAAAAAAAGATGAAGAACAGATATATGATCGCCAATTTGATTTCTGAAAACGACGAAGAACAAAATATAGCAATTTTGAGTTGTTGAATCTCGAAGATTTGAATTCTACAATTTGAATTCAGTTCGTTGAAGATGTTCGTAGTTGAACCTTTTCGTACTTTTTGAAGTTGTTCGTACTTTTTTTTTAAAATTTTTGAATTGTAGTTTAAGAGAAAAATACGCAGATGAGAAATCTAATTTCCGTTTCAAAAATTGAATTTAATGTAGAATCTATCAATTCCAAGATTCTTTCCTGATTTTTAGTGCGTTTTTAAGGGAATATTCTGCTCTTTTAATACCTAATAAACGAATGGTACAGAAATTGTAGGAAAAATGTGGACTAGGCGGGTAATTTAGATACTATGCACATATTTGATAATAAAGTTTCATATATGGTATAGGAAGGGAAAAAATCCCTTTTTTAAATTATTTTTTTAATAAATATTTTCAGGTAAGATGTTGCGAAGTAACTTTATTTTTAAAGTTTTTACATATGAGTTAGCAGTTTGCAGAGTTTGCAACAAATTTTTTTATATTTGTATTGTTAAAAATTTTGAACATTCAATCTAAATTTATAAGACAAGGGTAGAATAGCCCGGGATCATTTAAAGCTCTTTGGAGATCTTTATTCACGATGGGAGACGCATATAATGTTAGGGAGAAATTAAAAAATAGTCAGATTTATAAGTGGTCATTCAAAAATAGCCACTGTTTCAAAAGTAATCGAAACTTAGCCACTTTTCATGTAAAGATAAATCTGAACGAAAACACTGTTCAAAATCCGGAAACTACTCCAGCATAATATATTGGAATTCCAGTATAATATACTGGAATGCCAGTATAATATACTGGAACTCCAGCATAAGTATACTAGAACTCCAGTATAATATATTGGAGTTCCAGCAAAGTATACTGGAATGGAGTTCCAGTATAATATACTGGACTTCCATCATATTTTACTGGAGTTCTAGTACAATATACCGGTCCAGCATAATATGCTGGAAGTTCATACACAGGTGCACCGATCTCTAGTATATTATGCCGGAACTTTCTGTGTTGCAGCAAAATAGT